GCTATCTACATCAGGTTTTGCAAATCACAGACGAAAACAGGAGGAAAGCAAAATTTCATGTCAGTGAAGATAACAATACTGTTGTCATTAATGGACATTTAAAAAAGGAAGACTCGCATGCAATTGCATATTTGAATTCAAAGCATATGTCATAAAAAGCTAAGAACAGTGATTCTTAGACTGATGTTTTCAGGACCAGAAATGAGATAATATAGCCAGCAGAAAAAAGCTGAAGAAAGTGTTGTTGAAATATTTTTATTAGTGTAATGTCTCTGTCACGTTTTATCTGTATCTGCACTAAAGGTATGTGTTAGACCTCACCCTAAGGGTATCTGTTGTTGTCAATGGATTATGAGTATCAGTCTTGACAAGCATCCTCTGGTGATGTTGTAAAGCATATGTGGCTTATTTTAAGCAAAGCTTTCCATACGTTTGCCTTTGCCTTGTTGGAATACTCCTCCTTTTTCCCTCCTCCCTTTCACTTTCTTATCATGCTTCTGCTGAAAAATATCCTGTAAAATCTGTTAGTTGTTTTTAATTGTTTTTCCTGTTACTAACTTCCAAACACATTTCATCTGTCCTCAAAAGATATGTGATACCTTTACTGATGCTATAGAAGAAAGCACATTTTTTCTGTTATGCTACATAAATTGCAGCTATTGCAAACATTGCAATTTGGGTGCTTTGTGTATTTTGTACTTTTAAACCTCAAGTCCTGCAATCCTGCCCATGACTTGTCCGGTGACTTTCGCTGGAACAATTTCATTACCAAACGAAACACAGGCTTCAGTTCTTGTGGGGTCCAGATCCAACTCTTCTTTCAAACTCTCGATGGTAGGGCTGCTTGCCTGCGCTTGGGGAGAGTGGGAAAGAAAGAGTTGATGTTTTTGCCTGCTTCTCTCTGCCAGCTCCCCTTCCCCCACACAAAGTAAGTAATTGACATGCTATTGATGATATGTCAAGGGAAAGATTAAAATAAATAAAATCTGGAGGTTCCACTAAATGGATTCCATTGACATTTTGCCGTTCAACAAGTAATTTATGCTAGTATAACTTCCGCTGTCATTTAATCATATCTGCATTCACTTGAGCAGTAAATGTATCTTGTCTAAAGTAGTTATGCTGTGTCTTGCCAAGATCTTCCATACAAAAAATAAATGAAATTATGTTTTGCCTTTGATGGGCTTTTCAGAGGGGACAGCTCCTCTCATAATTAACTAATTGTATGTGAACACAGCAAGAGTTATGGCAGAAATGCCCATGAAGTATAGGGACAGTGATATGGAAGAAGCAATCCAAAAGGAAAAAAAGTTCATTATAGTACCCCGGCTTCTGTTTTTAGGAGAAAAAGACCCATGAAATTTAGTAGAGAATTAGAATATTTTTCAGAATGCCTTCTCAATCCTTCATTTGACTGTAAGAGACATCAGCAAAAACTGAACAACAGAAAACTTCTCTGAAATGCTTAGGTCAAAACTCAGGAGAAGCTGAATAGGCAAAAGCAGGAAAAAATATATAAATAAGCTACTTCAGTCCCTGTTCCATAATACTTTTGCTCTTCAAATTCATGTTATGAATTACATCCTATTTTATAGGACAGCAGAGGGGGCCTGGAGGATAGGCTTGGCATACTTAAGGGGAGGATTTCTTTTTGGCTTCCAGATCATGCTGTAAAAGTGAAGTTTGAAGTCAGTCTCTGGCCTCAGTTCTTCTCTCGCTGGAGCTAAATTAGCAGGATTTTTGCAGTTAAGTGATGCAGACTGAGGCCATTGCAGAGATTTGCTCCAAACCTGAAGGAAAGAGAGACTGTATGTCTTTCTCTAATAAATTGTGCCTGTGTAACGGCCAAGCTTTGACTTACTCTGTGTCTTAGATCTCCAAAGGGTTTGTTCTGCTGATAGGGTGAGCCACCTTGCAAAAAGGCTCTTTATAGTTGAACTGCTGCTTCAATATGACCACAAAGGTAAGATAGATCACTACTTGAGAAAGCAACCTAATTAGCGTAACTGAATTCCAGGAGCTGAGTATACGTTTCTTCTCCTTCGCTAATGTGCAGTGAGCATTGGTTAATTTATTTTAGAGGGTAATTGGATGTTCAGTATCTGGCCTACATGCATGGAAAACAAAAATAATTATTTGTAAGCTAAGTGCTAATAAAGAGAAAAAATGCATTGAGAAACTCTTATGGATTTGAAAGGTGGCCCCCGTTTAGGTTCTGTTTTCACTTGCCTTGTTCAGCATGGAGTGTAGGCAGGTTCTCAAAGATAATAGGGAATACGTGTAAAATACGCCGTGGGATTACTTAAGTTCTGGGAAAATTTATCTTGCTCATCTGTAGAAGGGCAGGGAGCAGAAAGCTGCCAGATAAAGATGATTCTGTTGCTGAAATAGCTTTGAGACTTCAGCTGTGCTTTTTAAAGGAGGGTCGTGGAGGCACTCTTCAAGCGTTAATTTAGGTTCACACTCGTACCCTAACAAGGGAGAAGGCTATCAGTAATATTCATTTTGCATATAAATGACTGTAGGCAGAAACCATACAGTTAGCTCTCCTAAATAAGTCAGTTATAAGGTCTGGAGCAGCACTCTTCCACTTACAGCACCTGTATCCTGCTCAGAAATAGGCCACATACTTTTTTGACAACAATGATAGAATAGTGTCATGTAACAAACTCCAACCTGAATATTCCCTGCTACCCCTAGAAGCTAAAGTTCCTGTTAGAACAGCAGCTCAATTACGTTGTTGGTTTCTGTCAGAAAATACACAGACTCGTAAAGGTAAATGGTGGTGTAGCATTTTAGAAAAAGACACAGATGGGAAAGGCTGTGCAGGTATGGTACATGACAGAGTTCACTGTTGGATAGAAGCACTTTCCGTCTTGCATTTCTTGATACTGGATTGCTGCTTGATTTTTTCAGATTTTAACTCTGGCTTGAAAAGAACGTTGTTTGTTGCTGTGCATTTAATTTCCAGTGCATTTATTGGATCCTCTTTGCAGAAAAAGATTCAGGTGGAATGGTGCATGATTATATGCCATATAATACCCGCTAAAAGGACAAGTATTGGTTACAGAAAATGAGCAGAGGAGTTGTTGCCCTGAAATCAAAGTTTGAATGTGCTTCATATAAAAGCAATATGATGGGAGCAGCAAAGTGTGGAGCTTAATAGAAAGCTGCTGTTGAGTCACACGGCATCCTTAACTGTTGGGGGCCAGGTACTACTGGTGAGTAGGGAGGAACTAACAAAATCCAACACGCTTAGAGGAAAATGGCATTTTGAAATGTTTGCAGGTTAAAATTTCTGAATTAGCTTCCTTCAGGGTTGAGTTATTTTCTCCAGGGAGGAACGTGTCTCAAGTTCCCTGAGCTTTCTGTGCTGTTTGAGTCGATGGGTTAAGCTGCTGCTTTCACACGTTTCAGGAGCAAACAAGGGCACGTTGCTGTAATGTCGATCAATAAACCGACAAGAAACACACTGAGAAGAGATCAACAAAAAGCGGAAGGAGTAACTGCTAAATTGATGGAGTGTAGGGGAACGTGGCCTGAGCTGGGGAGGCTGTTGCTCCTGGACACTGCTAGTGAAACGGCACCAGTGAGGAGACTACCAGGATGGTGGCACCAGGGCTTGGGTGACCTGGGCAGTCGCGGGTGTGACAGCTTGCCCTTCCCCTGCTGCGAGCTGAAACATTAGCGCTGTAGTAGACGTTTTCCAGAAAGCAGCATCTAAAGTGCGATGCAGCCTTGAGCTGCTAGAAGGCTCAACCTCTTTTCCTATAGCTGAACCCAGTGCTCCTGAAAGCCAGCGACACGACTTTTGTTGGCTTCATTTCTGGGACCAGGACTTAGCCTGGCTTTTTTACTCTGCTGGCAGGAATTCCCTGCGAGACTTCATCGATTCCTGGCACGTTTATGAAGACCTAGTTGGCTTGCTGCTCTGCGAGTGCAGTTCTTTTTGATGTTTGCATTGTTTTCTTGGAAAGTTGGCTCTGTTGACTGTTAGGATTATCATTGGCATTACTGTGGGTGAACAGAAGGCTGCAGGTGAGCAGGGCTCCAGAAGCACTTGCTTCCTGTGGGCTTCAGTCCTCAGAGGTGTTGTGGGCTGAATTTCTTTGGCCCCTCAAATGCATGGTTCTTACCTGGATAGCAGATTTTTTTAAGCCATCCCTTAAATTGGATCTTTCCATGTGATGGGTATGCATTTTGACTGAGCAGTAGTTCTGAAGTATTTTGGTGTGCACGCGTGCACCCCCCCCACACACACACACGACAGGTGTGTAAATATTATTCATGTTTTGTGTGCACTTGATCCAGCAGATGGTTTGTTTTGTTAGTTGTACATGTGCTCTTACTTTTAAGTACTTCGGAAGCGTCAGGGTAACTGCTTCTGGTTTTTGCTTCAAATTTGTGTATTAAAATGCTCCTCTTGGGCAGAGAGTCAGATTTCCCTACTGCACTTTTTAATGGCACTTGGGAAATCCTAGCTCATAGCGTCATGGGATTCTGCATCAACGTTGCTATATGTAAATACGTGGTTAACAGAGGAGTGGCTGGTGAAATTTTCTGTTGCTAAGGAGAGGAATTTCCTGACTTCTTCTGTGGCAAAATATGAAATAGTATAGTGGACACAGGTGTGAGAGAACCATGGTGTCTCTCACTTACTTGACTAGTGAAGTGTGAGTGCTTTTGTGCTATAGATTGGATAGGAGCACATGTGAAAGCTGGATTAGCTAGTGTCCTTATTTTGTACTCTTAATCTGAATGTCACTAGTTGATCTGGGCATTACATGGAAACGTTAAAACAGGAAAAATATATGTCTATAATATGATCACCTAGCATGCTGCTATTGATAGAATAAACCTCTGTCTGTTACCTTGCCAAAAACTTCTCAGAGTCTTGTTTTAATCCACTGTATATTTGGCCCTGGTTTGTTAAGTATCCATACGATAGTTGTTTATGTTTAAGAGTTTGCTGTGAACATATGACTGTTTTTGCATGACAGGTCACAGTAATGAAAGGCAGTAGTAGGAACAAGGATCATTCGACAGAAGGAGAAGGAACTGGGAAGCGACCAAAAAGAAAGTGTCTTCAGTGGCATCCCCTGCTTGCCAAGAAACTCCTTGACTTTTCTGAAGAGGAGGAGGAAGAGGACGAAGAGGAAGATATTGACAAGGTAGACCCCATTGGATGCTTTGACTGTAGAAGGTTAACGGTGGGTCAGGTTCTCCTGGGTATGTTTTTGTTTGTTTCTTGCTGTTCCCTTTTGTGAACAAATGCAGCCAATAAAAACAAGTGATGCTGTGCATACAAGGCTATAAATTATAGGACAATAGCAAACAATGCAAAAATGGGAATTATCAGTCACACTTTTAAAATCTGGGAAACCTTTCTTCCTTTTAGAGTTAGATTGTTAAGGGTTTGACCAAGTTGTTTTAATAACATGTTGCGCGTTTTGGTCTTGATGGCTCAACGAGGGTTTTTTAATCGTTTATTTTAGACATGATGTTAGCCTGTGCTTGATTTGTGCTTCTAGTGACCTATTGGACGTACCAGGGTAATGCTTTTTTGTTTTGTTTTGTTTTTTTAAGATCAAAGAAAGATTTAAAAATTAAAAAATAACAAAAACAAAGAGAGACAAAGCTGTCAGCATTTTCTACTATCTTTGCACATGAAATTCAACTTACCCTCCAGGATATTGGGAACACAGATAAAATAGTCTCTCTCGGGTTTGATGCTTGGCATTTGGGTATTGTTCAGCGACCCTGACCTTATCCTTCTTTCATAAGGACCCCACAGTGTGGCACCTCACAAATGTACAGTTAGGTTCGTCCTCTGTAACCGGAAGTGGGAATGGGAGGTGGTGGATTTTGGAGATGTGACGTTTCCATCCTGCAGATAATGTTCATGTCTGTATCTTCTTGATTCCTTGTGAAGGCAGGAAGTGAGAGGTCAGAGCTGAGGAGACTGCCTTGAGCCACATGCTGATAAGGAAGAGTGAACTTGACAAGGATAAGGAGTAACTAGAAGAAGCCCAATACTCTGACCGTTCTTTCTGCTGACCTTATGGGTCACTTCTCGCAATGTAGTATAAAATAGCAGTGTTGGGCTTACATAGGAAGAGGCTTCCCATCTCACGCAGTGTTACATGTCATAGAGTTGTAACTAGTCTTCTGTGGTTTGGCCCTTGCCAAAGTGATTTGCTGGTCTTTGAGCTGAGACACCTTATTTTGGCAGTGTATTCTGCTGAGAATTGCCCTCTGGAGCCAACTGGGTGCCTGCATGGTGGTTGTACTGCAGCACAGCCCACAAGCAGTGAAACGAATGGGAGGAGCTGGGAGAACAACTGTATCTACATGCTACCATTGCTGTGCATGTTGTAGTTGCAAGCTCACCTGATGGAGGTCCAAGGTAGTCCTGCCCATCTCATCCTACTAGGATGATTTCTAGCGTGTCTATGTGGGAGGATGTCCTCCTTTCAGCTCCTTTAGGACTGTTATTAGAGAACGGTCCTTGGCTTAGAATGGTCCTTGCTCCACTTGCAAGTCAGAGGTAAGTCTTGAAAAGAGCATGAATGAACCTTAGACCTTCAAATGAGGAGATTTAATGGAGAATTGATCTTCTGGAAGAGATGGTTGGCATTTGGAGACCACTGTGTGTGTCCGTGTATCTCCTCCTCATTCATACGCACACAAACCCTTTGTCTCCATGAGAAGCATGCATAAACTTGAGTTTACAGCCCTTCCCTTTTGGTTCTCTTAGGTGCAGCTTCTTGGCGCCGATGGTTTAGAGCAGGATGCTGATGAAACTGAAGATGACGAGTCCTCGGAGCAGCGAGCTCGCCGACCAATGAATGCATTTCTCTTGTTCTGCAAACGCCATCGCTCTCTCGTGCGACAGGAACACCCCCGTCTGGATAATCGTGGCGCAACCAAGATATTGGCAGATTGGTGGGCGGTTCTAGATCCGAAAGAAAAGCAGAAATACACTGACATGGCCAAGGAGGTATGTACTGTCTGCGTGATGTGTGGACATAAGTGGCATTCGTTACGAGTTAAGCTGTCTTTCTTTTCGTAGTATATTAAATGCTTTCTGTGGGGTCTTTCTGTTCTCTGGATTCCCCAGCTTCCCCACTAAAATTATGGTGCCCAGAGCTACTGTTGTCATTGCTCTGATTCTTTGGGTCTTTTGGATCAGCAAGCAAAGAAATTGGTCTATGTACAGAAAATGACCTGACTGTAGTGGTCTTCTGCACAAAACATACGCACCTTTTTCTTGTGGTGCAAGCACTAACACGTGGCTAGAGTATGTCCATGGAAAACACAGTAAGTAGTACAGTTTTTTATCAGTTGACTGTAGTGACACCTTAAGTTGTGCATTTGCTATTGATAATATAGGTTACTATATAGCATAGGGGGACCAAACCAAAAACATGATCAACAAATTTAATCCCTTTTTACCTTTGATAACTTCAGTGCTTGCTAAAGAATTTTAAAATTGCCGGTGTTTGTGAAGTACTCTTCCTAGGCATTGTTACCAGTTTCTGATACAGCAGCCTTTGGTGGGGCAGAGTCCAATCCCTGAGAGAGAGCGCAATGTACAGTCAAAGTCTCCTTTAACTGGGAACCGGGAAAATATTTCACAAAATACCTTTATCATCTTAAAATTTAGATGAGGCTTCTGGGGAAATAGCTTGCTCAGTAAGTTGGCCCAAGTAGAATGGGCTGAGATATAGATTACAGTAATTACCTGTATGATATAGATTTTGGGTAACCACTGAATTCAGCGTTAGAAAAATTAACGGAGGGCCAGGAAGAAGGAAGAACATAATTCACTCACTGACTAATGCTAGGGTACTACAAAAAAACATGGACAGCTGTGGAACAGATGGGGAAACCCTTATCTCTACCTTTCCTATCACTTGAAGTTGTCGGCTACTGTTAACACATGTATATAAGGTTGGGGTATTCAGTGTGAGTGTGGAGAGGTGAACTAGAAAAACGAAGTGTTCTGCGTGGCAGGCCGTTTTTAAGCAGGGTCTGTAGTACCTCTGTAGTCCAGTGCTTATGGCACAGTCGTGAAGAATTTGAGTCTCAGCTTTGTCTAACCATTCCTGATTAATCCTGCTTTCCCACTTAAAAATTTGTTACTTTTAGAGTGACACTTCTTTAAATGTGTGGGGAAAAGGCAATGAGGAGATTCGGTACAGACAGAGAGAAAGGAAAGATGAAACTGCAGAAAACGTTTTTGGAGGAAACGAGCCTGATGTGACTCTTTTTCTTAGCCTTTTGTCTTGCTGAAGGAAACTTATTCGTTAAGGAGGAAAATAATAGCAGAACTTCTGTATCAAGTGACAGATCTGTAACTATTAATCATACTGTTGTAGAAATCTCTGTTCCTATAGTGATTTATTTATTTCCCTTGGCATGAAGAACAAGTTGCATTCTCAGTGTTAAAGAGAAACAATAAATAGCTGAGATTGTTAAAACTAATTCCAAGAATATGTAGAAGAGATATAGCATATAATTTTTATTCTTTAAACTGTTGCATAGTACGACAATAATTAGCAACTATAATATGCCATTAAACGTCTTTGGAGCTTCTTCACAGACAGGCCTGTTTTGTGTGTGTGGAGGGCTTGTTTGTTTAATGCTAATTTTTATACTTAGATTTACTGAGACTGTCAAAAGGATGTTAACATCAACTCCAGGGAGAGCCATATGTTGATAATTTGGCTTTTCCTAAGGAGAAGTAATTTAAAAGTCAAGGTGGTGGATGCCTTTGGTCGGGCGTGAAACTACTATTGTACTAGTAATCTTCTATTTAAGTGCCGATGTATCTAAGCACATGGAGGTTTAAAATACAGCGGATGAGCTTTAGTTACTGAAATGCAGCTTTTCAGTGCCATTTTAGACTTCCAGGACACAGTGCATAGCCTGCAGTCACTGCCCTGGAAGGGCACGTGTCTCCTGCAGGCGCTGTGTCGTATCCGCTAGCCCCACAACGCCTCTTGTGTACCCTGAGCGTCTAAACCCAGAGATGGGAACGGCCCTCATGGAAGTGGTTCATGTTGCCATGGCATTACAGCCCTTGGTGTTGTCACGTCTTGAGAATGTTTTAAGTACTTGGAGGCAGAGTTTACAAAACCAGATAGCTCAGATGAAGCATCAAGTGAGCAGCTTGCAGTTTCTTCCCTGCTTAGTATCAGCAACAGATACTTCCTCTCAGCAGTCGTGCAAATCAAGGCTTTTGTTTATTTACTTACATATGTCTAGCTATAGGCAAATTCTCAAGATTTTTTAAGATAGTGAGGTGCCCAAGCACTCTGCCAAGTGGAATTAGGAGAAGTTTCCTAGTGGGTCTTGCCCTGATTCCCGATGAGAGGCTAATCAGGTATATTGGTCCTTTAGGCACTTCTGAAAATCCCATTATGTGCCTGTCTCCACCTTGGGATGCCTTAATATCTTAGAAAAAATGGCCCCATGCTGCCTGTATTTTAAGTCTTGTGGTTTATGTTCCTTATAGCAGGGCCTGCCCTTGAAACTTCACACTGCGCCTACAAAACTCAGTGCGAGTTTCTGCAAGTGTTTTTCTTCAGAAGCAGGTTTTTGTTTGCATCCTGCAGACCTCCTAGATCAACGTCACTTTTAAAGTTTTATCATACAGAGCATAAGCCCAACAGTTGATACAGCCTCCGAGTAGAACCACAAGTTCTCAAGCCATTTATTAGCATTTCACTTCACTGAGGAGAAAATGAATTCAGAAGACTCATAAATATGCTCCAGCATTTTTAGTTACTACAGTAGTAGAGGCAGTGCTCATCTATTAATTCTTACAGGACTCTCGCTGCAAACTGCCCTAGTCAGGGGCTGGGGGTATACTCAGCTAGCTTGGAAAATATCCAGCAAGATTATTGTTGTTGAAGCCTTGTTTCCCTTGTTAGAAAACACTTTGTTTTTAAAGACATCTTTGCATCAGCAATATCCAGGCAGTGGGAATTGTTTCCTGTAGAGAGCAGCCTGATAAATCCAGGCTGTTGCCATTCAGTGGCAGATCTGAACACTTCTCCCTGTGAGTGCTCTGCCAGCAATTTCGCAGATAAAGTCAGTTGGACTCGGAGCTTGCTATTGGCGCTTTTTTGGCAAGGGCTTCAAAGGAGGAGGAGACAAATGTTCTGTCTTCCCAGCTGCCGTCTGGCAAGTTTGCTGGCTGACGTATGGACCGTAGCATGTAATGTGAAACCTATGTCCTTCAGGAATGAAAAACAGAGTGTAGTATTTTCCTCCGCC